TTTTGACCATTTTTTTTGTCATTCTGAACAAATTTTAAGTCATTTTGGAAAGATTTAAACTCATGTGGGACTGTTCCTGACCAATTTCAGACCTTCTAGATCTACAGCCAGCTGGTCGCATCAGTATTATGGGATGTCTCATGGTGTGAACAGTTTAATGTCTATGACATAGAGTCATAGAAACAATCATTGGTACCCTGGATGTGGTTCTGGTTCTGATCATTCAGTAGAGAAAACTTTACAAAGTGCATTCTGGGTAAACGTTCCAGGCTCATATCAGCATGTGTGGTGGTGGTTGGTCAGAACCGGTTCTAGACAATAGAAGGACCGTTTTTAAAAACACATTTAAGTCATTTTAAGTAATCATGGGGAATCTTTACTCATTTCTGTCAAATTTAAAGTAAGCTTAGTCAAATTTCTATTAATCTTTGACAGATTTGAGGATGTTTGTGTATTTTTTGACAACTTTTACGTCATTTTGAACCATTTTCTGAGTCATTTTTTATTATTTTTTTAGTAATTTCCAACTATTTGTAACATGGGACAGGCGGTTGGTCAGAACAAGTTCTAGAGAATGGAAGGACCGTTTTACCTCCAGAACACACCAGGACCATCTGTAGACAGGATTCACTCTGTGGGAAAATGATTGAACAATATTTCCACACTTATATTCTGAAGGAGTTTCCACCGTGATAAGTCCTGCATCAGTGTCGGTACCAAGATCACACATCATCACTGTTGTCCACAATCTGAGGAAACAGAACAAACGGACAGAACCAGAACCATCAGAGGAGAATCTAAAGCCTCTCACAGGAGCTCTGAATGAACTGAACTGTTCTACAAAACATGTGAACACCAAAGTTGTTTCACAGTGAGACGATGCCTTCAGGAGCGTCCAGTAGAAACCAGATTCAGTGACTCCTGGGTGGATGTAAAGCCTGTTCAGTTGCAGCTTTTGTCAGTCTAACAGATCTGTTTGGACGCTGACAGCTTGATGTTTGGTTGGTTTAGTAACCGGATCCTCCCACTCGCCCAGATCCGACGTACAGCTGCGGGTTTTTTTTTTGTCGGTTTGTGTTTGTGGTTGGCGACAGCTGCGAGGCTCCGGGTCGGCCGGCTCCAGGAATGGCAGGAATCCACTCCAAACATTCCTGGAGGCCAAACACTTTCACCTCAGGAAACCACGCCAACGCCACACGCAGACGCTAAATGACAGCTCTTGGGGAACGTCGCGGTTCAGCCTGGAAGTGAAAAGACTCCACCAAGTCCTGCGAGGTACTCCGAGATTTATCTTCATGTTTAGCAAAACTAACAAAAAAAAAAGGTGCTGTTTTGCGTACATGAACATCTCTTCAGCAGCTTTTTGCGCCTTCGGTGTTGGTCTAAATTATGAGTCATGTCGTTGTTCCTGCAGGAACCAGACTTGGCAGCAGTTCAGGCATCCTATAATAACCCCGGTGCCACTCCCAACAGTCTGCTGTAAAAACCTGCATGCGACACGTTTGTAAATCTGTGAAGCTCGTGGTCGTCACCAAGGAACAAAAATCACAAAAAATACAACAATTCTAAACTCGAGCACCATTTTTCTGCATATAACGTGTAGTTTAGTCCGTCCTCGGCCCTCTTTTGGAGCATTAATTATGCATCACTTTGGAAATGTATGCATTTAAAATGCGAGTTTTATTGTAAAACTCTTTGTGTTGCTTTTCTCTGAAACATGCAATCCTTGTAAAATAAATTAAAGAATACAAGCAAAATATAAATAAAATACAAAGCAATGCACATTAAAATAAAAACACGCAGCTTATTTTTTAAAAGATGTAAGAAATGTATGGATTTATTGGGTTTTTGTGTATATTTCTGTTAGTTTTAGCTCAAAATGAATCCAGTGAGTCTCCAGAATTAATAATCCAGCAAATAAAACTGGATTTTATATAAATTACTCCAATAATGTCATATCCTAAATAACACTGATTTTATGACTGTTTTATTTTTTGTATAATTGTATTTATATGATTTTATTTTATTTTTATTTTTTTGCATAAACAAAGAAACCACCTTGATCCCTGTCAATCTGATCGATTCCTAAGATTTGTTTATCTACATGCAGATCAACACTTTGCACCAATGTCAGGATATCTGGTTTATTTAACAGTAGAATTGTTTATCGTGTTGCAGAGCGTTTAGTTTCCGGGTGATCGTGGCTGCGGTCAGTAAAAAACATGTTTCATGGATCGTATCATCACATTTTCATTCCTGTGGAGCTCCTTCAGTTGGTGGTTTTAGGTTCTGTTAAAAATAAACCTTTATTGTGAAAGTCTGCATGAGTTTGCGTAATAAAACAAAAAGCTGCTCCAGTGAGCTGACAGAAGGTGTTTCCTCCTCCGTCGGATCTCCGCTGAACTCGCGGTAACCTGAGAGTGAGCTGAGCTGCTTCACACCTGAGGAGAAGTGAAGCAGAAACACTGCTGGCTTCTGAGACTTCTTCTGAATCACTCGCTGCCCAAACAATGACTCATTCAAGGACACGCTGAACCAAATCAGTGTTTGTGTTTGGGGAGGTTCCTCCTGAGCTCCTCGGTGGTTTGTTAAGGGTTGTCGTGAGCACGTTTTCTACCCGTAACCCGAACGTTTTTGTGGATTCTTCCGTTCGTCTCATCCTTAAACTCAGCAACTCTTATGTTTGCTCCAAGTTTTGTTGTTTACGTCATTTGTAGGGACGACTTTCAAAAAGACGAGGATCAGCGCTCGTCGAGGTATTTCACTGTTTGGTATCCATTTAAGCCGGATCCTGTGTTTACGTTTGTTGTCACGCCGGTGTGTGAAAGTGAGAGCACAGTTTGTCACGGGAGTTTTCCTGAATAGTTATAAGCAGCGTTACCAATCAGTAATCGGTAGCATGAACTGCGTAGAGTGGACATTCGTTCTGAGCTGATTTTGTTGTCTTAGGCCGACTACAAACTGCGGTTTTAACCAGTTCACACAGCTAGCTACGCTGTACGACCTGAATCTGATTAACTTTGTCCACGACATGAAGTCTGCTGTGTGCAGATTGCGAGATGAAAACGCCGAATCACAGCCTACGACGTACGCGAGTTGATGCAAATGCACAAGAATGAAACGTCATCAGTGTCCAGCCACGATAAAGAAACTAGCGGATCGTGAACGTAGCCCTCGTCCTCATGGCATTTATGTGTTTGGAGAGAAATTCCAAGAAAAAGGAGGAGGAGGAGAATATGGACGCGGTCGTGGCTCGGAAAGGGAGGCCAACTGATTAGTATATCATTTCATCCTGCATTTCTATTGGTTAATTAGTTGATGGAGGTCGCAGCAGCAGCAGTCACACTGTGAGACCGACAGCCCACATTTCTGACACTGTGGGAATTATATCGCAGGATGTCTTTGGTCGCAAGACGGCCGTCCCCGAAGCTGTCTCTCAGTGCGACGTAGGACCACCGGTTTAGAGCCAAGACCAAAGATATCACCACGATTCTCTCATGATTGTTATCTTTCATGTAGGATGGCTGAAAATCGCACAGTGTATAGCGGGCTTTAGTCAACAGACATGATTCGAACCGCAAAGTCAGCTTCATTATGAGTGTGAGACATCAGAACATGAACCTAAATATTCCGAGTTTGTCCTAAACGCCTGAGTTCTGGTTGGAGGTCATGAACCTCCTCAGAGTCTCTGTCATGTTCCTGTTGCTGCTAAACTCCCACAATGCTCTCTGCTGCCAACATGAGCTGTAGTCTGAGTGACGCCTCCTCTGGTCTCTAAACAGTGAGAGGCTCCACCTGGTGGAACAACCAGGTACTGCAGCTGGTCTACGATACGTTTGCTGACATCATGTAGAGAATTCAGGTTTTCACTGACTCGTTTGATAATAATGATAATAAACATAAAACCCACATAACCAAAAACTTGTTGGGTTTTAATGTTTGTTTTAGTCGAGTCAAAACTAGATTATTTAGGTTTATCTTCATGAATGTTACTGCTGCAGCGTCTCTGCTTTATTAATATGTAATGTAGTCAGGTGAAATATACATCATAAATAACATTAAGAGGTCTCTTGGTGGGTTATTTGCAATTTCAGTCATTTTGTCGCTTAACTTGATTTTAACAACTTTAATGTGCTTTAACTGTGTATTTTTGAGGGAAAGTCTATCAGATTAGGACTCGGTATCACATTAAATGTTAAATAACTAAAAACCTCGATCCTTAGTTTTATGTTTTCTGCTTTTTCAGATGTTTTGTTGCTGTGTTCATGATTTTCCAGGCAGCATCCATTTCCCAGAACTGACTTGCTTAACAAATAAGTTGATGTCTTCCTCACGCCCTTCGTTCTTCTCCTCTCCTCACCGTCCCTCCCAGTGTGTGGTAAACCTCATCAGTGAGCTCCAGGAGCAGATGTGCAGGTTTCAGGAGGAGATCAGCACTCGCATCCAGGAGAAACGGGCCCTGGAGGAGAAGGAGGCCCAGCAGGCGGAGCCCCGAGCCCAGGGCCGAGGCCCTCGGGTCGGGTTGGCCGGCTCCGAGCTGAGCCCGTCCGGTTCTGACGCCCAGAACCGCAGCGGAGGAAAGACCGTTCACGTAGGGAGACTTGATGGATGAACTTACCCTCCTCCCCCCATCATTCCTTCTCTTCTTCTGTCCTCCCCTTCTAACCAGAACACACCACCCGGTATTTGGAATCTCCCACCGAATCAGACTAACCTCCTTTCTTGTAGTGTGTCTGGATGCGGGTTGTTGGTTCTTGCAGAGACTTTGGTTGGTTTTCCAGATGCTTCCATTCATTTGAGGAGTTGCTGGAAGGAAACTTTCTCCGTGTAACTCCTCAAGCGCTGGAAACATCTGGAACGTAGAGTGGCTCCTTTTAAATTGGGTTTTGCGCCGGCCTTTTTGATTTGGTTTGATGTGGTTTGCTTGCATGACGGTGGTTCCTCCGTTTACTAACAGACGTTGGTGGGCTTCGTCCTGCACTGACCAGGTGTTTGGTGACAGGGTTTCCTCAGATTTGCAGCTGGACGTCTTTCTGGTTCATCCTTTTCCCCGGTTGTTGATAACTGCACGCCGTGGAGACTGTTTTCAGGAGGTGTTTCCCGCATTAACCACTGTGCCGTGCAGCCCCAGAGACCTTTATAACTGCACTGAATGTCAACCTGATGTTTGAATCCCCGTATGTGTTGGCATGGACCAGTAGACAACAGCTCCTGTTGATTCTGACATTTCCAGGAAATTTTTTTTCAGCGGATTTTCAACTAGTTTAGACTCTTGAATCTGGCTTTGAACTGACTCAAAGATGCTGTGCTTTGTTTTTGTTTTCTGTTTTGTTTTTCTGCAGGATTTGCTTCAGGAAGTAAAGCAGCTGAAGAGCAAAGTGGACGAACTGGAAGGAGAGAAAAGCCAATACGAGAGGAAGCTCCGAGCCACCAAGGTACTTGTTAAACAGGGTCAGTCTGGACGGCTGACATGGAAATAAGTATGACGTGTGCTGCGGTTTATCAGGAACAGATGCAGAAAAAGAAATAGATGTTCCCTTTGAGCTCCGTTAAAAACTGCAACCAAGTCAGTTTTACATCCACTCCACGTGTCCCAATCTAAAGACTGAATCTGGTTTGTGTTCAGACTTTAACAGTGGAAATGAGCTGTCATCCGTCCATGTGATCACGGCAGGTCAAACTAGTTTATACTCGTGGAAGCCGTGCAGAGGATTGTGGGTCAGAATGGCCAAAACAAAAGCTCCTTTAGACACAAGACTGTACAAGGAGATTTTTCCTCATTCACAACTTTTAGAATTCATCATTTAAGGAGCTGGAATTGAAGTAGGACTTTGGAGATCCTTTGATTTGCACATGGTTTCTACCGACGGAGCCCAAACACAGTATGAAGTTCTAAATTCTCCAGAAATCCCGTGCTGTGTTTGTCCGCTGTGTCAAACACATGGACGACGTTATCAGTCAGTCGATCCCAGTTTGCATTAAACTCACGAGTTCTGGTCGGAGGTCATGAACCTCCTCAGAGTCTCTGTCATGGTCCCGTTGCTGCTAAACTCCCACAATGCTCTCTGCTGCCAACATGAACT